TTCAAAATTAAATTTCAGGACAAACACATTCAAGACCACGTGACACAAGATAGTTGTAAGTCTTTTCAAAATTAAATTTGAGAACAACCACATTTAAGACAATTGTAAGTCTTTTCAAAATTAAATTTCAAGACAAACACATTCAAGACAGTTTGTAAGTCTTTTCAAAATTAAATTTCAGGACAAACACATTCAAGACCCCGTGACACAAGACAGTTGTAAGTCTTTTCAAAATTAAATTTGAGAACAACCACATTTAAGAAAATTGTAAGTCTTTTCAAAATTAAATTTCAGGATAAACACATTCAAGATCCCGTGACACAAGACAGTTGTAAGTCTTTTCAAAATTAAATTTGAGGACAAACACATTCAAGACAGTTATAAGTCTTTTCAAAATTAAATTTGATGACAAACACATTCAAGACAGTTATAAATCTTTTCAAAATTAAATATGTAGAGTTTTTCATTTCACCAAACGCATGACAAACAGGTTCTTTCTTGAACAATTATTAAAGGTGCAAAAAAAGAGAAAAAGATAGCTTACATTATATATATATATATATATATATATATATATATATATATATAGTTGCATGTATAGTTTTTTACACCAAGCTAAATCTATCTTTTGTAGTAGTAAATTGGAGCTTTCGCCATGTCTCTTCATTTCCTCACTTCAGTCCCTGCCAGCTGTTTCAACAGAACGCATAGCAAAGACATCTCAAATAGATCAAACGCCAACAAGTTCATTGTCCCCCAAGCTAGAAAACTCGTTGCTACCGCCAAAGTTTTTGATGAAAAAATTGCAAGAAGAACTGCCAATTACCATCCTCCTATTTGGAAGGACGATTATATTCAGTCCCTCCAAAGCGATTTTGTGGTATAAATATATATATGTAATTTTAAGTTGTTAAAATACCCAAAAAATTTTAAGCATAAAGATTACATTTTATGCAATAATTTATCAAGCTGGCAGAATTGCTTTCTATATAGGGGGAATCATGTGATGAACGAGCAATGGAACTGGTTGGAGAAGTGAGAACGATGCTTGACAAAGTGCCAGATCCCTTAGAGAAACTTGAGCTGGTCGATACCTTGCAGAGGCTCGGATTATCTTATCACTATGAGAATGACATAAAGAGAATTTTGGAGAGTGTAAAGGCTGAAGAGAGCAATATTGTGTGGAAGAAAGGCAATTTATATGCTACAGCGCTTGAATTTAGGCTCCAAAGGCAGCACGGGTATAAAGTAACTCCAGGTAATTAAAAAGCCTAGTAATTCTAGAATAAGATTCTGTAAAGATCGTCATAATCAGAGGCGGAGGGAGGGGGGCCAGTAGGGGCCTCCGCCCCCCCTCTCTTTCCCACAATTTCCAAACGTTTATAATATTTTCCTTGTTTTTGTTTTAAATATTTATAATTTTATCTTTATTTTTTAACAAATTTTATAATTTTGTCTCCTAAATATTAAATTTTTTGTTTTTGCTCTCAAATTTAAAATCCTAACTCCGTCACTGGTTATAATAATTAGAATGAGAATATTGTTACGTGTAGATGTTTTCTCTAGTTTCATGGATGAGATGGGGAACTTCAAGGCAGGTCTTTGTGAGGATTGCAAAGGGCTGCTAAACTTGTATGAAGCTTCATACCATTTGGGAGAGGGTGAAAGCATCTTGGAGAATGCAAGAGATTTTGCAGCTGAACATCTTAAGCAATGTCTGAAGCAAAACAAAGATGAATATCTATTTATGCTAGTGGAGCATGCTTTGGAACTTCCGCTACATTGGAGGATTGAAAGGCTGGAAGCAAGGTGGTTCATAGATGCGTATGAGAGACGAGAGGACAAAATTCCTATTCTTTCGGAGCTTGCTAAATTGGACTTCAATATGGTGCAAGCTGTGCACCAGGATGATCTAAGATATGCTTCGAAGTAAGTGGATGAATCTAAATCTGAAAGCGTTATGGATAGAGACTCTGCCTTACTTCGATTAGTAGCCATAAAGAGTTTTCTTTTTTGTTTTTCTATTTTTTTCCCAACCAAAAGAGAATATTATTGCACAAAATATCTAAGTAAATATAAAATATCCCAAACTATGCACAGCAGATATACAAAATGAATTACCACCTGGCCAGAGGCCACCAAAACTTCTTCCTTCTATCAACTGCGAACTTTGCAAAGAAAATTGCCAATCTGAAGAAAAGTTGGTGAGATTGTAGCTTTCTTTGGCTTATATAGTTGCTATGAAACTCTCTCTTTGTGCTTGAATTAAAATCGTAACTTCAAAACTTTGCTCCATGACACGAACTGCAGGTGGTGGAGTGATTTAGGTCTCGGGGAAAAGCTAACCTTTGCCAGAGACAGGTTGATGGGGAACTTTTTATGGACTGTTGGAGTAGCATCTGATCCTCAATTTGGTCATGCTAGAAGAACTCTGACAAAGATTAATGCACTAATAACAATTATAGATGATCTTTATGATGTTTACGGTACTTTGGATGAGTTAGAGCTCTTCACTGAAGCTGTAGAGAGGTTGGTAATTCTGACTATTACTTATGTTCTGTTTGACGTTTTGAGTAAGCGGTAGTATACTATACGTAATTTCAGATGGGATGTCAATGCGATGGAGCTGCTCCCAGAATATATGAAGATATGTTTCCTTGCTCTTTACAACTCCATAAACGAAATGGCTTTCGACACTATTAAGGAACAAGGATTTGATTCCATTCCGTTCTTGAGGAAAATGGTACTAAAACCCCTTTTCTAAATCTAACTTAGTTTTGTTTCATGATTTGTTTTTCTGCATTCCTTACCTTTTAGATTATAATTATATATATTATTGTTTCATCATGCATATTCAGTGGGCAGACCTATGTAAAGCTTACCTAGTGGAGGCAAAGTGGTATCATGGTGGATACACACCGACCTTAAAAGAGTACATTGACAATGCATGGATTTCGGGTTCCGCTCCCGTAATGCTATCACATGCTTATATCTCAACAAATTCAATACGAAAAGAGTGCTTGGAATGCTTGAAGGAATATTCCCATATTGTCTATTCTACGTCTATGATTTTACGACTTGCGAATGATCTTGCAACATCATCGGTATGCAATACATATATGTGGGTGTTTATATATATATATATATGTATATAGTCATTATGTAAAACCTAATGTTTCTAAATCATATTTGATGATATATGACTCAAAATGTGATTCAAATATATTGATCTAATGCTTTTGCTTTGGATTTGTTTGATTATTAATTAGGACGAGTTGCAAAGAGGTGATGTTATGAAATCAATCCAATGTTACATGCATGAAACTAGCTTTTCTGAAGAAGAAGCCCGTCACTACGTAAAGAACTTGATTGATGCAACATGGAAAAGCATGAATGAAAATCGAATTGCTCAATCCGCTTTTTCACAGACATTTATTCAAATGGCACTGAACGTGGCAAGGATGGCTCAGTGCATGTACCAACACGGTGATGGCCATGGGATTGAAGTTAATGAAACTAACAATCGTGTATTATCATTACTTGTTTTACCTATTCCTTTACAATTAGGTCTAAACACCAATATTTGAAAGGTGATATAGGAATTGTTTTCATTTTTTAAAATAAAATCTCTATTTCTTTAGGTTTGAATTATAATATACTGTTGGTTTATTAGTGTTGGAAATGAACATTCCATCCTAAAATTATACATATTGCTAGACATATAAGTTTTACTATTAATTAACTATTAATATTTTTATTTATTTAATGACATGGCATGAAAATTATTCTTATTTTACTCTTCTTGCATCTTTTTTTAAAGAAGCAATGAATTATGATTATATACCTTAACAAAAAAGGGGGGTAAGTATATCCCAGTAAAAAAATTCATGTGCAACCAACAAAAAAAGGTTGCAGCGGATCATCGTGATTCAACATCATTATATACAAACTCTATACAAACCATAACCTTGAAATCCTATCACCTAAGAAGTGGCAATAAACCACAAAGACTATAAAAACAAAAAGCAGTAGGCATAAGGGGGATAAATTGTAAAAAGGAGAATAAAAATTAACAATCAGCATTGAAGGGGAGAAAAGGAACCAGAAAACCAAAAGCAAAACGGGTTTAGGCTTCTCTGTGGTTGACCCGCAAAAGATCATAGGTTTTGAGAACCCCTTCCTTTGTAAGTGAATTAGCTTCTTGATTGGCTGAACGGGTAATATGCTTAATGTTCCACCTATTGATTTTGTCGAGGACAGCACAGGTCTGCAACCTCCAAGGAACCTTCTGTGGGCTGGAAATTCATGTAACGACATTACAGTTATCACATTTGAGAAGGGAGTGAGAAATCCATTTGGACACTACAACGATGGTCGCAGCTTCTTTGACAGCAAACAACTCAAACCTTGTTAGAGTCAGAGACTCCAATAAACTTAGAGAAGAGAATGAGAATGTCTCCACATTCATTTCTTAGAATCCCCATTTGCTTGAATCTCCTGGGTAGCCTCTGGATGCCCTGTTAGTATTGAGCTTCAAGGTCCCTTGAGCTGGCCTGAGCCACATTTCTTTCTTTTTAGGTGCTAGAGATTTTTGGGGGATAAGTCCTTCGTTTGGCTGCCTAGCAAGATCACCAATTTTGACACTAATCTCTGGCCGCATTGCCTTTATCCAGAAAGCTACTCTGATTTTTGTGAGTTCCAGAATTTGTGCACTATCCCATGGTTTGCAGTTAAAGACAACCTCATTTCTTCCCATCCAGATGGTCTATATAATGGCGTGCCATGCCACTTTCAAAACCAAGCCATTATTGAGTGTATCAGCCACATCCAACTAAGATAGGAAACAGACTAAGGGGTCATTATGCATTACCCAACGATAGCTCCACATAGCACTTCATTGTTTCCACAAAATCCAAGTCTTAACACAGCTAAAAAATAGGTGATGTACAGTTTCCGTTTCCTGTCTACAGAGGAGGCATGTAGTCGCATTATCACTAATAATATCTTTGCTCACAAGAGTATGTTTCACGGCCAATCTGCCATGAAGCATCTGCCAACATAAAGCTTCTACATTCAGTAGGGCAAGGTCGGTCCATACAAGTTTCTAATGATGACTATCAGGAGAGTAAAGAGGAAACACACTTTAAGCAGAAGGATTTGGGTGTATAGTCACCTTCGGGACCCCTTTTCCAAATAAGCTTAAAATGGAAGTCACTGTGAAGGAATTGATTGTTGAGAAGATTATTAAAGCTCTCCCACTGCTGAGACTCCCTATCGAACACATTTCTTCAAAGTTGGATCTTTCAGGACAAGTGACTCTTGTCCCATTATGTGTTTTTTTACTCTCTTTTTTTCTCTTCAGCTCACTGTTAGAATTCTTTTTCTCTTCCTTTCTTTTCATTTCACAGTTTCCCGCTCTCTTTTCCTCCAATTATTTCTTCTATAAACCCACGCTTTTTTCTTCCTTCATTCCTCAAATTCCTTCCTCTCCCTTTATCACTCTTTCCAAACAAAACAAAAAGACATCAAAAGTGATCAATCAAGACAAACTGCCATTTACAGCAGATAAGCCCACTCAAGTTACTGAGATTTTCGAGAAAGCAAAAGAAACTCTTTCCATGGCACTGACAAATTTTTCTCATGATGTTGAATAACAGTGAATAGCTAATAAATAGTGGGTGTTCCATCCACATTAATAAACTAGAACTTGTGTTTGCTTATCTCGACAAGAGCTACAAATCTGTAGTCAAAATAGGTAATAGAGTTGTCACAACCCAATCTAGAGCCATGACGGACGCATAGGCTCAATAGTTATAGTGCATTAAGCCCAAGCAAGCCTTTCTATGAAAACCTATTCATTAGTCCATCTCTCATCCATCTTTCTGTAAGATCCATAATTCGTAATTTTCAATTATAATTTCTTTGGGAATAAGTCATGACAACCAAGCATATACTATCCTCAAAATAATGTTATCACTTGCCAACCTATAACGACATTATTAATCAAACTAAACAAACATGTTTACAACAAATCTCACAAT